AGAGAGAGAGAGAGAGAGAGAGAGAGCGGAGAGAGAGAGATATAAATATCAAGAGTCCATAATAGAAAATGACTATTTCTATTATGGACTCTTGATAAATATACACAGGCACGACTAACGAGGTACTGACAGGCTTGTAATCTTGTTGTAATGTATCTACTCTCCACCAGGGCCGCCCCGTGTTTATTAGTTTGGGCGTGCATGTCTGGTGTACACCGGCTTTCAGACAATAAGCCATTCTCTTATTGCTCTGAATTGCCATCTTACGTTTTCTTTATTCCGTCTCTGTATAATAATGCTACCGCTATATGTTATTAATAAATTAGACATATGCGTTGAACCACACGCGTACAACTTCCCCTCCATCGTTTCCCTTTACGTTTTCTACCCTGTGGATACTGTGTGTAGAATGATAACGATGGTTCAATAAAGACATACCACGCCCTTTTCATATAGCGAAACAGCTTTATAAGCTTGGGTAAACCTCTTGTCGTGAGTACGGGGGACTGTAAAACGGTTATGGGTGCAAACGGGTTATCACAGTTGTTCCACGTTATTATATTATACGTTATATCTGCCTTCTAATGGTATTGGACGGACGGGAGACATCAATCCCCTTTAATTTGTCGACGCGTTCACACATTGCCTGTCCAGTGTGCGGTCGTCGGGTACATAATATCTATCTATATATATATATAAGTCTGGATGCTTGAGTCTATACTGTCAGTATAGTGCTCGATGCGTTAAGTTGCAGAGCGTAATAAATTGTAGTCTGTAGATAAATTAAAGACAAGACATCACCTTTAGCTGTTACTCCGAGTTTCACGCTTACGCGATCATCAGACAGACTTACATTATTCTTCATTAAAGTCTGTCTGATAATCGCGTAAGCGTGAAACTTGCAGTAACAGTTAAAAGTGATGTATTGTCTTTAATTTATCTACAGACTACAATTTATATATATATGAGTCTGGATGCTTGAGTCTATACTGTCGGTAGAGTGCTCGATGCATTAAGTTGCAGATTCTTCATTAAAGTTTGTCTGACGATCGCGTAAGCGTGAAACTGGGAGTAACAGCTAAAGGTGATGTCTTGTCTTTAATTTATTTACAGACTACAATTTATTACTCTCTGCAACTTAATGCATCGAGCACTCTACCGACAGTATAGACTCAAGCATCCACACTTAGATATATATATATATATATATA